CACTATTCTTTGCCACCTGGCAAATGTCTTTATTTATTCATTGAATCATGGCATATGTTTTTTTCTAATTTGCCAGAGTGCATGTGTTCTCACCAGAGAGAGACACAGAGACAGAGAGAGAAACAGAAAGAGCACTCCTCAGTGGGGTGTGATCATGCCACAGTCCCTTCTCCTCCATTTTTCTACCTTGTCAGGATCTGGGGCACACAAGGAACTGCATGTTTTGCAAGCCATGGGGGCTGGGATTCCAACCATGGTTAGTCATGTGGGATTTGGCTTCTTTAACTGCAAGGTCGATCCAATTCATCACATGTCTAGTGAGTGTTTCCAGGGGTAGACCTTCATATAGATAGTAAGGACTAGTCCTCAGACTCAGACCTTGTCATGAAAAAATTCAAAATTCGAAAGTAAGCAAAGAAACCATCATAAAACATGTGAGAAGTATATTGAAATAATTTGTTCAACTCTTTAATCAGCATGTTTTTCTTGAGCATCCACTATGTGCCAAGCACTGTGCTAGCTAGACTCCAGAAATGTAATGTCAAATAATATGAATATGACCAGATTTCTGTAGACTAATGGATAAGATTCTCATCAATTAGTTCTCACTGTTTGATCATGCAGCTAAGGGATAAAAGTGGTATGAATCATGGACTTCCGTGGGGATCGAGGCCAATGATTATGTCACTCAGGGTTATATAGCCCTTTTCCTATTTGAAAAGAGAGCCAGACAGACAGGGTAGTGCTTTCTCCAGATGTCATTCTCCATTTTAGAAGCTGAGGCCACTTGTCTTGTCTCCTGAGACTTGCTGCACCCAGAAGGCAGGGCCAGTGCTGCCTGCACCAAGGGCCTAATTATTAAAGAAGGTGACTTCAGCTCCATGACTGTGAAGGAGGAAGAAATAGAACATTTAATAAAACTAACAAATTATGGAAGAAAATAAGCCAACACATTTCTAAGTCCAGATGAAAGTAGAAATGATGGATTGGGTTTCTTCCACCCACCCACCACAGCTAAACAAGACCACATTTCTAATAGGACACTAGGAAATTTGCCAAAAGAAATAGTTTCCCAGAAAGAGAGGTTGGGGACAGAGGTTCCTGTTTCAAAGGTGGCCCCAGTTGCTAGGAAAGACGCAAGAATGAAGGTAGCTCCAAGTAGCCCCGTAGCCCCAAGTCACCTCCTCTGTCAGAGAAGTGGCATCCTCTCTATATTACTTGTCCACCTCTTCGTGGTCACATGAATGCTAGTGTGGACTTGCATTAGAAAGTGCCACTTAACCTGGAATGGAAACAGGAGTTCTATCTCCAGCCCCAGGGCCACTTTTAGGTCATCCTATCAGAAACTGTCTTGTTCTTGAAGCACTTTGTTAGGTGTCTATTTTTAAAAACTGACTTGAAGTCTTTCTCCTTTGGTACTTAAGTAACTATCAACAGGATTTTGTTGCTGTTGTTTTCCAGCTTTCTTCTTCTAGCCCACTTAGTTTTAATTCTGTTTTGTCTAAAGCTTATCAAGTGGTGACTTGCTAAGATGGGGCCAGGTGACAGCCAGGATAAGAAGGTGTCCCTGTCTGGTCTCTGATGCCTTGTTCTTGTGCAAACTAGAAGTACATTCAAATAGTCTCAGCCCTTGGAATCTTAGTCGCAGACTGTTTTGTCTATTCTCTTCTCCAAATATGAAGAGTCTTCAAAAAGTTGACGAAACATGTGTATTATGAGAAACCTATGTGTGAATTTCAATTTTTTTTTAATTTGCAAGAGGGCATATGTTCTCATGAGAGAGAAAGAGAGAGAGAAGGAGAGAGAGAAAGCATCCCTCAATGGACCGTGGTTATTTTGCAATCCCTTCTCTTCCATTCCTCTTCCCTGTAAGAATGTTGATCATGCACACGTGTAATACCCACTGTGTTTTTCAAGGTGTCAGAAATGGAATTCAAACCACATGGTTTGTTGTGTGGGATTCAGCTCCCGTATCCATCAGACCACAGGGTTGGCTCTTTCTCTCCCTTTTTTAAAGAATAAACTTGTACTTTTTTATTTAGTTTTTATTTAATTTTCTTTTATACATTCAATCATGTTATTTAGCTTACAAAGTGAATATTTCAACATGTGACCATTTCTCCCTAGTCCAGTTGATAAAACTATGAAATTATCTTCAGCAGATAATACCACATTTCTTTGTCCCATTAATGCTGGAGGCTTGCTTTCTCACTTACTCTCTCTCACTCTGTTCCTCTCTAGTCAAAACAAAATAAATAAATAAAGTTAATAAAATAATTCTTTAAAAAAATAATGTGAGTAAATCATACCTAAGAAAACTTAACAGCTGTTTCTGAGAAACAATGGAAAGTACAAAAGAACACAAGTATAGTAAGTTTCTCTTTCCTTCTGTTTCCTGAACTAGAATCTACATTCCAGTCTTGCAGGTCCACTTCCGCTTCTGGGCCCAGCCTTGTACATCCATTTACCCAGCATTTTTCCATGTTGTCCTCTCTTTATGCATAGATTGCCTTTGGCCTTCCATCCACCCAACACAGTCCCATGCCTTACATTTAACTTTCACCACTTCTCCCAGGCTACATTTATCTTTGTCTTTGAGCTGCTGCTCATGTACTTTAGACCTCCCTATTCCTTATTTGAAACCATCTCATTTCTAGAAGGTACAGTTTGCAGTTTCTGGATAACCTGTAAGGCCTTAAGATTTTCTTTCTTTCTTCTTCTTCTTCTTCTTCTTTTTTTTTTTGTAAGATTACCAGACCAGCTGGTGGTGTGGAGGTAAAACCAGCAGGTGGTGTGGAGGTAAAAGCACTGGATCCCACATGGCCAACTGCGTGGCTCAAGTTCTGGACCCAATGGCTTGAAAATAATGGCAGGTGCATGTGCATGTATGCCCAAAATCCTGAGAGGAAATGGGAGAACGGATTGTGACATGGCCATTCCTCCAGGGGGTGATTTCTCACTATCCCCACTCCATCTCTCTCTGTCAAGTGCACCTGCCCTATAAAAGAAAAGATAAGAAAGGAAGGAAGGATGGAAGGAAGGAAAAGAAAAAGAAAGAAAGAAAGAAAGAAAGAAAGAAAGAAAGAAAGAAAGAAAGAAAGAAAGAAAGAAAGGAAGAAAGAAAGAAAGAAAGAAAGAAAGAGAAAGAAGAGAGAGAGAAAGAAAGAAAAAAGAAAGAAAGAAAGAAAGAGAGAAAGAAAGAAAATTATCATTGATGAATTTCATCCTTCATTTTTCATGAAATTCTACCACTTCTTAAGTCTTAGGCAGGACCTGGCAAGCAAGCTAGCCTGAAAACCTCCAAGGACATCACTTCTTAAGGGTTTGCCTTTGGAGAGTGTAGGTGCAGCAGACATGGGTGCAGGCAACCTGGCCATCAGCCTCTTTTCAGATGCTCAGACTCTCTGAGCAGCCAGTCAGCATAGCACATATGCTTTACTCTGACCTGTCTTGTGATTTCTGTCTTTTATACCCAAGGTCATCCCATTGTACTCCCTCAAAAATTAATCAAAACCCAGATTTGATCTGGAAAGTGTTACACCAAGTGTAACTCTCAACTTCACCTTCCATTAGTGAGGTCTAAGAGGACTGTATTCTAGGACTGGATACTTCGAAACAGTTTTATGAGATGCCATCTGTCCCCTTTCTCCATTAGCAATGCTTTTGTTTTAGATAGAGACTAACCTCCTTACTAGCCCAGACAACTCACTTATTTTATCATGAGATAAAACTCAATCTTTGCCACCTCTCAGCCTCCACACACAGCCCTCATGAATGCTCCTGGGAATAAGGACTTATATTTGCTCCAGGTATGTAATCAAGTGAGAATTCACTAAGAGTTCAGGGGGTGCTTCTGTGGTTGTTAGAGTAGTGTCTGCATTTATATAAGCTCAATGTGTCACTTCATTTTTTTGTGGGCGATAGTCATGGTCAAAACCAAAGCTTACCAGAACAGATATCTTTAAAATGAACTCCTTGAACCTCTTTTCCAAAACTCTGGAACATGAGTCCACGTTCAGGGAACTATCTCAGTGCTTTCTACACATCAGTGCGTTCTGGAATGATAAGCCTTTGTCATGGTTCTGAAGGGTTAATAATCCAATTTTTAACCTTTTTCCCTCCCTCAACCTTGCCAGAGGGCACATGTATGAGGAGCGAGAGAGAGAGAAAGTATTCCTCTCATGAGGGATGGTCATGCCTCAATCTCATAATCCTTTCTCCTGCTTTTCTTCCTCCTTTCAGGATTTGAGGCATGCACACACACATGCCATTATGTTTTTCCAGCCATGAGTCTGGGACTCAAACCACATGGTTGGCCATGTCAGATCCAGATACCCTAATTACCATCCCACTGGCTGGCCCAAGCTTAATTTTGTCATATGGAACTATGAAGGTGACTATTCTTCCCATGCAGAATCAGATTCCGTTTTCAGCCATAACAGAAATATTCAGTAGCTTCTCCTATTGAAAGCAGACTCAACACCGAGATTCAGTCTCCAAGACTAAAGAAGGTTATGGAGATGGATAGTGGTGATGCTGACACAGCATGATGAATGTATTTAATAGCATGGAACTATACACTTAAAATAGGAGGGTAAATTTTATATATGTGTTCACAATGAAAATAATAATGCTTTAAATAAAAAATAATAAAAAAGTGTACCCAAAAAGACAGTGTATATTTCTTCTATTATCCAGTGCACTGCTTCACATGTAGCAGGTTTGCAAAAAAATGTGTTCCATGTAATAAATAAACGAGTGCCTACAGTAATTCTAACATGATTTCTTTAATGTGTGAAGAAAGATTGCTGAATGTTTGAACTGGGTAATGGGCAGAAACTGTGCTTTTCCCTTACTTGGAGCTTATTATATTAAAGCATAAATTCAGACCTACAGTAATACCATAGGATTGTGCAGCAGATAGAACTGAATGCTGACCCTGGTCCTGAGCTCTCTGTAAACACCAGCCCTCTGTATCTTTTGGTTTTCTTGCTGCTTAGATGCCCAGCCCACAGAAGGAGAGAGAGAAATATGGAACCAAATCAGCGCTGTCCTCCAGGATTCCGAGAGCATCCTCACCGACCTGCAGGCATACAAAGGAGCAGGACCAGAGATTCGAGATGTATGTCTGTAATAACACTGAACTGACCACCCCTGGGAGAACAAGGGAAAACCACACACACGCGTGCGCGCACACACACACACACACACACACACATACAGAACGAGATTAAGCTCTAGTACTTCCAAAAGTACTAAGAAAAACGAGGAGGGTAAGATGTCTTTTAAAAGATATATGAATGGCCCCTTTCATTTTAGCCCATTAATCTGAATACAGAGTGCTAAAGACCTAATGTTAATGCTAAAACACTAGCCATTCTCATCTCAGACATGCATTTGATACTGTAGGACTCACATTTAAGCAATAATGTCAACAGATCACTGCACTTAAGAGGAATATACATAGACAGTCAATGAGCATCCATTGAAATAAAAGTCAGAAAATATGAATTGAGGGATCAGCAGATGGCATAATGGCTACATCACTGGACCCCCACATGTCCTACTGCAGTTTGAGTCCTGGACCTGGTGACTTCAAACTCAAGCTGGGCCCATATGTGTGTCCGAGATCCCAGGAGGAGAGCAGAGGAGAAGGAACTGTAGCGTGGCCATCCCCCTAGGGAATGATTTCTCGCTTTCTGTCTCTCTGTCTCTCTGGTGAGCGTACAAACCCTTATAGCAAAAATCTCTCCAAAAAAAAGAAGGAAGGAAGGAAGGAAGGAAGAAAGAGAAAGAAAATCTGGATTGACGTGATCCTTCCAACATTTTGTGATAATTTTGGCAGGTTCTACCAATGTTACACACAACAGCTATACACCACCTCACTTCAAGTAAACTATAGGTCTACTTCAAGGTCATCTTAAATGTCTTAGGAGATTTAAAGGGTTAAATAAAAAACAAAACAAAAATAAAACTGTCAGCTTGACTTTTGAGACCTCATAATGCCTTAAAGGCAACAAACTTCACACTCCTTTTATTTAAAAGTACTTGTTTTATGGAAATATCAATACACACACACACACACACACACACACACACGGACGCACCCCACTGCTACCGTCCTTATGAAAGGAACACCATTAGCAGTATAATCTTCAAATTGCTGAAACCCAGACCAAACAGCATTTCGAAGAAAGTAACAATCCGTTAAGAGATGGTTTTTCTACTTAGGGGTCACCATTTAATTTAGGTAATTTAGGCAACATTAAAGACTGGCAGGAATATAATACATATTACCAAGGGAGGAAGTGGTAGAATTTGCACTTTATAATGACCACTAACTCTATTTTAGAAGAATCAGATAATGACGGGTGGACTGAATCTCTTCCCATTTAACTGTGCATTTATTCATGTATGTGTGTGGATTTAAGATTAATAGAAACCAACGTGATAACACAGGATCCAATTGTAGTGTCATTTGCTTTATGTTCAAGTACTAAAATTTCCACTCAAAATGAGTATCTTGGGGACAGTCCAATGAACCAATGCCAATTTAGTAAGTACTCATTAGCAAAGTACATCAGGGATTGTCCTTTTTATCTGAAGCCTTTTCTCAGTCTTAAGCCATTTTGATGTGGAGCTTATTGCTTCTTTTTAAATAGACAATTCTACCATGTCTCTGTAGGCAATTCAAAATCCCAATGACATTCAGCTTCAAGAAAAAGCTTGGAATGCAGTCTGTCCTCTGGTGGTGAGGCTAAAGAGATTTTATGAGTTTTCCATCAGGCTAGGTGAGTATGTGTTCCTAGTCTTCACATCTCACATGTGAAGTTCTGTTCTGGTGTTTGAGGAGGTAGTAGTATCAGCTCAGCGTATTAGGATATGACTCACTTCTACCCACTATGCCTTACAAGAGGGTGTTTATGGACAGCAGCTCTTGTCATTTTCATTTCTTTCAATCCACCTCAGAGTTTCTCTCTTGAAGGTACTGGCACATTTAGATTGTCCCTATACTGGTAGTATCCTTTTGGTCTTGTTTTCATCTATGTTCAACTCTTAATAATTTTACTATTGGCTGATTATACTTCAGAATAATAGAGAAGATGAAAGGTAAAGGTTACCTGCTGGCCCCAGAAGAATGTGGTTGCATGAAATCATATAGTAAATTTAATAGAAAAAAACTTTTATAATATATTTTTTATTTCAATTTCTTTTATACATTCAATCACATATGTCACTTGGCTTGCAAAGTGAATATTCCAACATATATACATTTCTCATCAATCCAGTTGAGAATACTATACACATTATCTTCAAAAGAATAAAAATTTAAAAATAAATAACATTTTTTTCTTAAGCTTGGGAGAAAAAAATGCACAGGTACAGGATGGCTTTCAGAAGCTATAGTAAAGCCAAGGCTGGTTGACAATAGGCCCACTATGACCAGTAATATGATGTAATTACTGTCCCTAACAGCAAGACTCTGTGAGATATTTTTAAGTTAGTATAGTATATCTAGAGTGTCAAAGGTCGTATTCATATTCTACTCTACATTTGCCATAAAAAAATACCAAATTTTAAAAGCAAGCCAGAGAAACTGAAATACTTGGCATAACAATAACCATGATGTTAAAAAATGACTGGTAGTTAAGAGTGAGGGGAGTAGTTGAGTGCCTCAAACAAGAAGGCTTTTGAGACTCTCAGATACAAGAGGGATTGACTTAGCTCTACATTTCCTCAAACTGTGTGGTAGACCTAATGAACTGAAATCCCAAGAAGTCAAGGTTTTTGCTCAACAGGAAGAAAAAAACCATCAGTCATAGCAAGCCAAATTAGAAGACAGCATGTTCTCACTGATGAAAATGTTCGATGAAGGGTAGCGATGTCCCTGGCAGGGATTGTCCTTTTTATCTGAAGCCTTTTCTCAGTCTTAAGCCATTTTGATGTGGAGCTTATTGCTTCTTTTTAAATAGACAATTCTACCATGTCTCTGTAGGCAATTCAAAATCCCAATGACATTCAGCTTCAAGAAAAAGCTTGGAATGCAGTCTGTCCTCTGGTGGTGAGGCTAAAGAGATTTTATGAGTTTTCCATCAGGCTAGGTGAGTATGTGTTCCTAGTCTTCACATCTCACATGTGAAGTTCTGTTCTGGTGTTTGAGGAGGTAGTAGTATCAGCTCAGCGTATTAGGATATGACTCACTTCTACCCACTATGCCTTACAAGAGGATGTTTATGGACAGCAGCTCTTGTCATTTTCATTTCTTTCAATCCACCTCAGAGTTTCTCTCTTGAAGGTACTGGCACATTTAGATTGTCCCTATACTGGTAGTATCCTTTTGGTCTTGTTTTCATCTATGTTCAACTCTTAATAATTTTACTATTGGCTGATTATACTTCAGAATAATAGAGAATATGAAAGGTAAAGGTTACCTGCTGGCCCCAGAAGAATGTGGTTGCATGAAATCATATAGTAAATTTAATAGAAAAAAACTTTTATAATATATTTTTTATTTCAATTTCTTTTATACATTCAATCACATATGTCACTTGGCTTGCAAAGTGAATATTCCAACATATATACATTTCTCATCAATCCAGTTGAGAATACTATACACATTATCTTCAAAAGAATAAAAATTTAAAAATAAATAACATTTTTTTCTTAAGCTTGGGAGAAAAAAATGCACAGGTACAGGATGGCTTTCAGAAGCTATAGTAAAGCCAAGGCTGGTTGACAATAGGCCCACTATGACCAGTAATATGATGTAATTACTGTCCCTAACAGCAAGACTCTGTGAGATATTTTTAAGTTAGTATAGTATATCTAGAGTGTCAAAGGTCGTATTCATATTCTACTCTACATTTGCCATAAAAAAATACCAAATTTTAAAAGCAAGCCAGAGAAACTGAAATACTTGGCATAACAATAACCATGATGTTAAAAAATGACTGGTAGTTAAGAGTGAGGGGAGTAGTTGAGTGCCTCAAACAAGAAGGCTTTTGAGACTCTCAGATACAAGAGGGATTGACTTAGCTCTACATTTCCTCAAACTGTGTGGTAGACCTAATGAACTGAAATCCCAAGAAGTCAAGGTTTTTGCTCAACAGGAAGAAAAAAACCATCAGTCATAGCAAGCCAAATTAGAAGACAGCATGTTCTCACTGATGAAAATGTTCGATGAAGGGTAGCGATGTCCCTGGGAAAGA